GGAATTTTTATACAAATAAAATTAATTTATACTTTTATATAACTTTAAAATTTTATGATCTTCATTTCCTAAGCCGTTTTCCTAAAATACTTGTTCTACCATAAGGTTCGATGGAGTGGGGGTCGGCGGCTCTTGGCGAATCCCACCTAGACTTGGTAAACATTGTGCCACGAACTCGGTATGTCAAGTTCGGTGGCTTAACTCGGTGAGTTTCCGCTGAGCTACTCCTCTCTCTTCTCCTATTCTCTTCTTCCATGCTCTCTGTTTGACATCATATTCGGCAGAAATAGAGATGATTAAGATGGAGCTTGGTTATCCCAACACCACTCCCCTCGCTGTTCTCATTGAAAAAATTTGATGTTAATTATGACATGAAAATACGCATTATTACTAGTGTTATTAAAGCATAGACAAAATTGCAAAAATGATCCCTGTTTTTGGCAAATTTATGCGTTTTGGGTCCAAAACGAAATGTTGGTGCACCATTGGTCCAAAATTGGATCTTCCTATTGTTTTTCGTCCCTATCAACATAAAAAAGACTATTATACCCTTATATTTGTTTTCTTTAATTTTTTTATATTTATTCAAATGTTTTTCATTAATTAAATATGAGAAAAAGGTCTCTCTCTCCACATATGTAACCCACAGAAAAAAAAATAGGTTGACGCCCTTATCCACCCAAAGCTTTATCATCTTCCTCGCTCCCTTGACGGTCACTACCATCGCTAGTTACCTGCAAATCAGAAATCAAGATAGACGCCCATGAAGTCGGGGTCAAAGTTGTTCTCCATTTTTGAAGAACACTAGAAGTCAAGGTTCAAATTACTCGATTTTCCCTTTTTTTTCTATGATGTTTGTATGTCTCATTCATTCTTCATCTCTATTAACGATTAATCATTCAAGTTCCAGATTTGATGTGACCTCCTTTTGGATCGTAATCGGTACTATCACCACCATACACCACCAACCTTGAACTCCATTATAGCCATCTCGTCATCACCCCTTCTAATAAGCCATCCTCACCTTCTTCACCCTTGTTCATCAGCCTGAACATCACCTCTAACGCCACCCACATCACACACCACCGGACCACCATAACCCACCTTACCCGCAAGCCAACACACATCTGCCATAAAAAAAGATTAAAAAAAACGAGATTGATTCAGAAGAGAGAAAGAAGGGGTTGTGATTGAGTTTGATAAAAAAGAAAAAAATGAAATACACACCTTAACCTCTTCTTGATTTACCACAGAAATCTGATCAGCACCACCAGACTCACCATCCCCAAGCTCCTGCGATCTGAATCGAAGAAGGTGTGATGAGAATCGAATCGAAACAGAAAAGAAGGAAGTGATGGTCGTGGATGTTGTCGATTGAAGCTAGAAGTACCCGTGATTGTGACAGGAGGGGGTGCATCGATTTAAATCTGAGCTACGTGTGATCTGAAAAGTTTGTTGATGAACAAATTGAAGAACACCGATGATTTTTTTGGGTGAATTGTTTGATTTGAAAAGTTGAGTTCTTTGTGTAACGCCTCGTTCCTGGTACGCATTTTAATTATTATTCTTCTTGTTTTAGAAGCTACTCGACGATTCAGTATCCCTAACTCGTCGAGTAGCAGCGGGTCTGCACGTGGATTGAGCGTGCCGACTCGACGAGTCGGTTATTCCCGA